CATTTGGAAATTGATTGAAAAGATTTTTACTATTTAAAAAATGTATAAACACTCAACCATGTGAAGACTCTATGATTTTTATGGTAATATGGATCTTTAAAGAAAGTGCTTTCACACACACACAAACACACACAAACACACACACACACACAGGGTGTCCCCCAAAAATGTATACATACTTTAACAGCTTTAGCTCAGTTTTGAAAATTAAATGAATTTTAATAAACACTGGCATAAAAATTATTGAATTATTCCAAAGCAAAATATATCTATAAAATGTTAAAAGGCATTTGTATAACAAAGAAGGAAAAATGGCAAAGAAGAAAATAATAGCAGTAAAGTGAGATTGAACATAAAATGCTATCAAATGAGTTCATACAAAAGCAGAGCAAATGTCTACAAATTTGTGAAAATGCTGAATTCTATCAAATAAATAATAAATGAAAACTAATACATGAAATTCTATCTCAACCTTCCCTTTACAGATCTATAAGTACAATATGCACAGTTTTTTGAAGCTATACTGTTTATGCACCCATATTACACACTGAATCATAAAACCCCAACTTGAAACACATGAAAGTTATTTTGAAACTCTGATTGGCATAAAAATTACATAGAGATCCTATTAAAATGCAGCCTCTGACCTATCTGGATGGGGCCTGAGATTCTGCATTTCTTCTAAGCTTCAGTGTAATGCTGCTGGCCTGGGGACCACACTTTGGGCAGCAACTACTCATGCCATCTGTAGAAAAGTACACTCGATTTTTTTAGTGGCTGGCTTTGCTGGACTGGAGGATTGTTTAAAGTCTATGATTTTCCCTCTGACTAGTACGTGGAGCATAACAGGTCTTCATGAAACTCAACTCCCTACCTTTCCCGATGAGGACGTTTGAAACAAGCAGGGGCAGTAGCGACTGACCGAGTGTGAATGTGTGTGAGTGCATCCAGTGTGCAGCAGCACTTCCATGCTGGCATTTCGGAAAGTGTGTCAGCGACTCTCCTGCACTAACCACAATTTGAACTTGCATTCATCTCAGCAAACTGGGTTTAGAGAATTGTCAGGTTCAAATATATCCTATCTCTGAGGTTAAGCCCCAGCTTATTTCACACACTTCAACATTTTCCATGTGGATGCTGTTAACGTTGCCTGGAATTTGGAGATAAGCCCAGGATTAGTCCTGCTTTAAAGTCATCACGAAGCCTTATTATAGGCCCCAAGTTAAGTTGTTAACTGTATTTCTGAGAGCTTACTAAAAAAAAAAAATATAATCACATTCACTCACTTTGGTAAGCTTCGGACAGCAAAAACATAGTGCTATTGTTGAAAACTCACCTGCAGGCATGCACCTTCATGTTGTTATAGACAGTAGCCTTACGTCCTGAGGCTGAAACAATATTCGGTTTACCAACCTTGCTTGAGGAAGAATATCTAAACTGAGACTACTAGATGGGATACTCACTTATTTTTTTAAAGCATTTTGATAACTGGGTCAAACCTATTCAAGTAGATTTTTAAAAATCACTTTGCGATGTTCATAATTATTCAGTAATTATAAATTATTGTAGTATTTTCCTTCTCTATTGTTATGAAACCAACTACTCCAGAGTTTTCCAATCACTATATTGCTAACATTTTTGGAACTAGCAATTTCAAGTGATATTAACCTTATGTTATTAATATGGCTAATACGTTTACTTTCCTTTTATTCATTTTGTGTGTGTGTGTGTGTGTGTGTGTGTGTGTTTTGTTTTGGTTTTGGGGTTGTTTTTTTTATTTATAGCTACTCTATTGACCTTGAGGACATAAACAATAAGGCAGCAATATCTGAATAAATCTTGTCAAAATTGTATTGCCCTTGGCCAAAGAATATTTCAGAATAACCAGGAGAGCTATAGTGCAAATATATTGGATGCATACTGAACTTCTAATAATGCGGACTTGGAATTGGAATATATTTCTAAAAATAAATATAAAATGGAACATTTATATATTAGAAGCTTATGATTTCTGAGTTGTCATAAAAAAGTATAAACATACTTACAATATAAAGTAGAATAACTTTTAACTTCATAGCTATAGGTAATATTAAAATTAAAAGGAGCAGAAAAACCTCTCTGTCTTAAGGGCCCTGTAAAAAGAGATGCTGTAGGATAGTTTCCTCCTAAGAGTGAATATAAACTTGTAAGGAATTTTAATCAACCCTCATGTAAGACCACTCATATAATTTTAGGAGGGTTCTATTTATTCTCCTTTTGATGAAAGTCTAGAATTTAATTTTTCTTTAAAATATGTAGTAAATTACCAAGTTATTTATAAGTTTAGAGGTTTTTAAAATGTTAATACACTTCTGATTTTTCCAACATGGTGCACATTACCAAAATTTGTCTTCATGTGCCCTCTGACTTCTGTTGTATCTGGAGATAACAGGTAGATAGGTGGATGAATGGGTGGATGGATAGATAGATAGATAGATAATTGTGGACTAGATCTGATAAATTGAGAGGATCTCCTCAGTATGGAGAATGTCTATATTATAGTAGCAGGGAAGTATTTGGTGAGTAGAAATCAGTAATTGAGAGCAACTACTCTCCTCTGTAGTGCGTAGTTCACTCAACCATCCAAGATAGCTCTCCATCAAAACCTTGCCATGAGGAGCTATTTACATAACTAAAGTTACTTATCCCTACGTTGATAAAAAAAAAAAGTCTGAGACTGGGAAGTTAGTTACCCGGTGTCATAATAACTGGTGATGATAATCTAACCTGTGTTTATTAATGTTTTATATTTCAAATTATTCAGAAAGCAGGGTGATATCTTTTAGGTCTACCCAAATCCTAGTATTTTTATCAGTTGAGATTTTGTAATCTGAGATATAAATTCGGACAAAGAGTCTCCCCTAATCCATGCAATTTTGGAATTACAATGTATTCTAAAAGATAACAGAAGCACTTCCATAAAACATTTCTTGCAAAGTTTACTTTTACACATATTGATACATTCACATAATGAAATGCAATATGCAAATAATTTAACCTTTTGAAAATTTAATGATCACAAAGCAATACTTTCAACTTGAGAGTTCATAGGAATAGAATATCTATGATTTACCAAAGCATTAATATTATTATTATTCTTTTAAATGCTCAATAAGGAAGTCAGAATCACCATAAGTATCCCAAGTAATCCTTTTTCTGTTACTTTACTAACAGTAATTACATTGAAATCTTCTGGAACTCACTCCCCAGGTAACATTAGCTGCAGGATAGTCCCTCAGAAGCACTACTGTACAGAAGGTGACAGTTATTTGAAGTCAAGACAAAGGTAGATGCCACTATTTTCTATCTCTTTAAAGACTTTCAATAAAGAAATACCTCTGAGAAATATTCAGCAAAAAATGTTGTACAAACCACAATTTCCTGTTACCAAGTGTTTCCTACTGTTACCTCCAGGTCAGAATCCTGCTGTAATAAATAGTTTACCAAGACAAAGTTAATTATGTAGAAAATTCTCCACAGATACACCGTCTGATTTCTCTGAGTACCAGTCAACCCAAAAAGACCAGTTGTTTGGTGTGTGCAGCCTGAGGTATCTATTCCCTTGTTCATTCCTTTATAGAAAAGCAAAGTCTTAGCTTTCACACATTAAATGCCTATTTTTAGTCTGAGACAAGAATGACTGTTTTGAACTAAATAGCCTCAATTAGAATAAAAAAGAAATCAATGTTACATAAATAGAATTTTAAATAATAAATTTCAAGTTTAGATACTGGGTTATGCTCTTAGGTAGTACTGAATGCACATTTTTCAAAGCAAGGCAAGGCAAAACCTGCTTTAAAATCAGCATAAATCACCAAGTTGGTAGTTTACTATTTTAATGGAATGATGTCAGACAACCTTATTTTTGTCCTACCAATGTTAATATTAGGCAGATCCTGAGTCAGTATTTGAAGTGAATCACTGAAGACTAGAACTCTCTTAAAGAAACCTGAAAACTAACATACTAAGCAGTTTTACTTTTACATAATTTTTGGATACTATAAAGAAAAAGGTGTTTTTTGATCCAAATAAAATTTCAAAACTTCAATTAACCCAGATGATTTCAAGATGTATTCTCTTGTGAGGCATAAGAAAAATATGCAATCAAACTATTTTACTATCACTCTTTCTTACAGTTGTACAGCATTTTAAGCAGAGCCCTTTCATGCAATAAGGTAGAAAATTATACCCTCAAATAGATGAATATCATTAGAAAAGGTTTCCTCCTCTTCACTCACACCAGCAAGAAAGATAAAGATAAAATTTGTTTTCTCTGCAGTATCAACTACTTCCTCATTTAGACCAAATATAATTGGTAAAGCCTAATCTCAGGGAAGTTTCTATATTTTATCCCCCGTCTTATAAAACCAATTGTTTATCAGAGTGCTAAATTATTAAAACTTGTATCAAATTTGCGAATACACTGTTAAGCCAGATTTGTTTTATTATTTTTCAGATATGACAAAATAGCTAGAATTGCCAAAGAAAATATTTGTGTCTCACTATAATTTTTAGTATTTATGAAGTAACATAAGCATAACCCGGAGAATGTATCATACTTATAAATAATAGAGTAGATAATCATCAGAAACAGAAACAGGTTTTATAGTTCTATTGAAATATTTCACTATTCATAAGTACTCACCATGACATATTTTGCAGTGTTTGTCCTGAAGCTGAAAGTAAAATTTGAGACATTTGCTAACCCCTGCCTAATTTACAACAGGAATGTCATGCAGATTTTTTTATACTGCCCCAAATAACAACAGTAATTTCTCATTCTGTTTATTTTGCATTTGGCCAACATTTTATGAAATCACAACATAGACAAAACTTCATAATCACTTTTCAGAGAGAATCAAAAAGAAACATTACAATAACCTTCTGCCTATTTTAAGCCTATCATGTTTGTCTAGGAGGTGAATGACAGAATCAGATAAAATATTGCGACAGTCTCTTACCTCTGTCACTGAAGTCATCTACTAGAATGATTTCTGCTATCAGACTCTCCGGGGTTCGGTTAATTATACTGTGTATGGTACGCAGGAGTGAAGTCCAACCTTCATTATGAAATGGGATAATGATGCTGGTGTTTGGCAGTATTTCCAGGTACAGCTTGTGCTTACAACTGGAGATAATAAAGGGACAAAAAAAGCTAGGTCAAACGCAAAACTATAATATATTACATATTGCTATTTACATATTATGTTATCAGAAGGATTTGAAAACTAGACCTTGTCTAATACTGACTTTTCCAGCCAGAGCTTGTACATCTTAACAGTTACTCTGCTTATTCATGGAATCCATTATTAATTTCTTTTCTCACTCTTTTTTTTTTTAAAGAATTTTATTGATTTTTAGAGAGAGGAAGGGAGAGGAATGGAGAAAAAAACTGATGTGTGAGAATGAAACATCAAGTGGTTGCCTTCTGCCCAACCCCCACCTGGGGTCAAGCCCACAACCTGGGCATGTGCCCTGACCAGTAACCGAACTGGCAACCCCTCAGGACATAGGATTATGCCCAACCAACTGAGCCACAGAAGCCAGGGCTCGCAATCATTCATAATAAAATAATTATGTACCCTTTTTTGTATCCTCAAAGACCAGGCAAGAATTACATTAAAATGTGTTCTTGTGAACTTAAAAAAAATATTAATAAGGATAAATTTTTGGTTTTTTTTTTTAATAGTGATAACTAATACTTATTGACTGCTTACTAAGTAATAGCATATTTTATTGTGGTTAAATACACGTAACATAAAATTACTATTAGCGACATTTAGTAAATTCACAATGTTATGCAACAATCATCACTAATTCCAGAACATTTTCGTCACTCCAAAAGGAAACCCCGTATCCACTGCTCTCTCCATTCTCCCCTCCCACCAGTTCCTGGCAACTACTAGCCTGCTTTCTGTCTCTATGGATTTACCTATTCTGTATATTTCATATAAATTGATTCATATAATATGTAGTCTTTTGGATCTAGCTTCTTTACTTTAGCATATATTTTTAAGTTTTTAACCAGGTTGAAGGGTAAATTTTATGCATTAAAATTGTGGTTAACCTTTACATGGGTTTCCTACAAAATTTTGGAAATTCACCTTCGTTAATAATGATGCTTAATCAGTTTTGGTTGTGGTATGTTTCAGCAGCTAGGTAGCAGCTGTACAGGGGAAAACACAGTATTAAAATGAAATCAATGAACATTTAATATCCAATCATTATACACTGATATAACCACATAATAAAATCACATTTAGATCCAAACAAAGAGAGGTGATTGATCCAAGAGAGCGACAGCGTCGGAGCACGTTACCCTCACCTCCTCCCAGGACCAAACTGGAATTACAACTAAAATATAGAACCACCAACCTGAATAACAAACCAAAGACTACCTGAAACAGAAATCGTATAACCAAGAATTTACAGGAGGCAGCACATGGAGACTGAAAGGAAGGGCGGAGACAGGAATAGGGCTGCCCTTCCTCCCAGGGGCAGCAGCTGAGAATCCAGACACAGGGGTGGGCAAACTTTTTGACTCAAGGGCCACAATGGGTTCTTTAGCTGGACCGGAGGGCTGGAACAAAAACATGGATGGAGTGTTTGTGTGAACTAATATAAATTCAAAATAAACATCATTACATAAAAGGGTATGGTCTTTTTTTTTTTTTTTAGTTTGCCCATGCCTGACAGAAGGATGTCTTAGCTACATAAGTTGCCCTGAGGAGCAAGATCTCAACCCCATGCTGGGCTCCCTAGCCCAGAGCACCAGAACCAGAAAGAGGTACCCACAGAATGACTGGCTGTGAAATCAGAGGGGTGTCTGTATGCCAGGAAGAGATTAGAGTCTGCAAGAAACTGGGGCACCCTCTTAAAGGGCCAATACCCCAAATCTCATTGGCAGGGAGTCCCCCTGGGTGCTGGTGGAGGAAGAGTGGAGCAGGCTAGACTCATGTGAGGAGAGACTGAGGTGTGTGGCTCCAGGCAGAAGCACCCGAGCTGAGTGCCTCTCTCACACCACAGACACCATCTTTCTTGGGTGGAGCACTCCCCTCCACACACCACCAACTTGGGGTAAAGCAATAGCGCCAGCCTGCGGAGCTCAAGTCCTGCAAAGGAGTCAGTGGCCTGGGCCCAGGTTGCAGAGTTCCGGGGGATTCCAAGGGTGTCAGTGACAGTTGTGTGCCTCGGGGGTGAGGGTTTCTTGCCTTAAGGATTCACAGACCCGTGGACAGATACATAAAATTATCAGAATCAAATCAGACAAGTGACATAACAGATGGCCCAGAGGCAGTGAGAGCTGGAAGGAAGTATGGCTAACTTAGTCTGAAAGAATCAGGGGCGTCTTTATAGATGAGTCTGTACATCGAGAACAGATCATGCAGGATCCTGAAAATGATTCTAAGGGATTTGGACATTAGCCTGTAGTCAGTGTAAAGTTCCCCACAGATTGTCAATGATGAGAAAGACAGAACTGTGTTTACACGTTCCCCCCGGCAGCAGGCAGACAGTACGTTGAAGACAGCAGAGACTACAGGTAGAAGAGCAACTGTAATAGTCCTGGCAAAAAAAAAAAAAAAAAAAAAAATGGAGGGTGCTGATCTGATTACTCAAAGGAAAACCAACCGCCTGGTGACAGTGTTTAATCTGATTGAATTATATTTCATCATTTTAGCATTAACCTGCTCTAAAGGATGTTGAAAACACTCCCAAACTCAGCCATTGGGATCAGGAAGCTGTGGTCCAGAGGGCTGCATCTCAGCATTGCTAGGAATATTGAAGCATATACAGGGCTTTATTAAGAACCTGCAAACTGTCGATTTCAGGTTTAATCTCAGGACAGGTTGAGAATGGAAGTTTGTTAAATATGAAGACAATGTAACGATATGGAACTCAAAGAAATAAGTAAAATAAAGAACAATTTATATGTTTATGGTTACAGGTATGTAGCAAAATTACAATGAGGAAATAGAGACATCAAAACATTTGCTGCATTAAGTTTACAAAAATATGAATGAAAATGCCGGTAATTATTGTATTTAATATTGCTGTATTATTTTAAAATAAACATTTGCATAAAATTAACTTTAAGAGTTTAGGAATGGCTCAGAGATTAGGGCATCTCTTTGTTAAGCAACAATTTATCTAAATGGAATAAAAAAAAACACCACTTCTTCAAATTTTAAATGAATCAGAGAGACAAAAGAAAGAGTTTACATTCTCAAGTTACTTGAGAGAAATGACAAATCATGAAGGCATTTTAAAAGCTGACAAAAAACCTACAAATTAGTCTGAAAACATTCTTCTAAACCATTGACAATAATGAAAATAAACTTCAATAGATAATTTCTCATACTCTTCTGTTTTCCCAAAACAATCCATACACATTTTCTGACATTCTCTATTGTCATTTATTAAAATGAAAAATTTAAAATATTTTTAGTTTAACAGCATTGCTAATTTTAAACATACTTAACTGTCATTCCTTTTATAGCTAATTTATCATTATAATGTCATTGGTTTCACACACAAAAATAAGTGGTTCTTTTAATAGGAATAGGCCTAAAGTTCATTTTAATTACAGGTATATAAAAGAAGTGCCATACTTGTGATATATATTTTTTCTCTAAAAGAGATATTTTATCATTCATAATGCAATATAAACATTTATACTGCAGGCATTTAGGCAAACTTGCATTTGAGATTGTTAAGACCTTTGTATTGGTCTTACCATCACCTAAACATTTTTCCTCGATGTCTAAGGCTGAAATTTAGTATTAATTACAATGCCAACACTCACATTTTAAAAAATCAAACTCTTGTATTGCAAGATTTGAGTAAAATGTTTGGTTGGAAGTACTTGCATATTTCAGTCCTTAGGTCATTTTGTTAACTTATCTAACATACAGCTTTATTTTTTGTTTTACTGAGTTTTTTCGTATCTACTTATATTAAGTGTATCAGAGGGGAAGTAATGTTGTATTCATAACCAATGCCAAATCCCAATGGCTCAAAACAACAAATATTGTTTTTTAATTCTTCTGCATGTTCACCACTGATTGGCAAGAAAATCTCTGCTCACTGTAGTCAGTGCAAACAGCAACATTTGACCTGTCAGTCATTCTGCCAGAGGAAAATGAGAAGGCTGATGGGTCTCGAACTGGTAATGAAGTGGTTTGCCTCTAAAATGACCTAATGCTTTCTGCTTACAACTCATTGGTCAGAAGTAGTCACACAGCATAAGGGATACGCTATCCTATAGGATACAGAAGGAACATCATCAGACATATTTGCCAAACCACACTAGTGAACACAGCCATTTCAGTCTTCTGCCTGCTTTTAAGTAAAAAGGGAAACTGTGTGATGACCTTTAATGGAAAAACAAAGAAGATTCAATTTCTTCATTGACAAAAATTATAATATTTAAGGCTCCACTTCCATATAAGTTCATTTCATGATAGAGAGATCAAGTCATCAAGAGGACACAACAAAATGTTTTATGCGCCTAATAACAGGGTTTCTGAATATAGTAGTAAAAGTTGATAGAAAAGCAATTAAAGATAACTCCATGGTTACAGTAAGAAATTTATTCTTTAGTTTGTTCCTTTTTTTTTCAGTCTCTAAAGGTAAAGGCTTAGATAATTGATTTGAGGCCTTTTGTTCTTTATTTTTACCAGCACTGAATGATAGAAGATTAGAATGATTTCATTATATGAACTGCCTGAAATAAACAGTTTTAAAATATTTATTTTTGTTCATTTAAAAATATTTTGAAATTTCCCTTCAACTTCCTTTTGAAATACCGATTGCTGAAAATATGCTTTAAATTTCCAAGTGATTGATGATTGCCTTGTTATTTTTCTGCTAATTTTTAATTTATTTTATGGTCATAGAATATACTTGTAAAATTTCAATTTTTTAAAATCTGTAGTATTTGTTTTGTAACCCAGGGTTGGTCAACCTTGAAGACATGTTTCATGCATAATTGAGAAGAATATATACACTGCTGTTGTTGGGAGGAGTGCTTTTTTGTTGTTTTTCTTACATTTCTTCTTTTCATAAAATGATACATATATGATATAAAATGATATATATCTATAAATATATATATATGTTTCTCATGTG